GTCCAAATTTTCGTTTGGACTCTTTTCTCCCTGTATTCTGAACTTCAAGTTACCAAACTGCCCTCAAAATTATCTTCTACCCCGAAAATAACCCTTCCTGCGCGTCCACCTGTTCCTCTCCTTCTCAGATTTTTTCTATTAAGCTGAAAATCGATTGNACGGTCATTTATTTTGACGTGACAGCAGAGGGGAGCTCTTACGCTTTGGTGTACTGTGCTAGCTAAGTCCTAACCAGCTATCTCACATCGACGAAACTTGAAAAGTTTTGCTCATTGAAATAACGAAGGCTGCTAGTCCCTTCGGGGACATCCGATAAAATTGGAAAGATACTAAAAAAGTTTACATGGTCGCTGCGTAAGATAACACGTACAAATTGAGAAATAGTCCAAATTTTCTTTTGGACTCTTTTCTCCCTGTATTCTGAACTTCAAGTTACCAAACTGCCCTCAAAATTATCTGCTACCCCGAAAATAACCCTTCCTGCGAGTCCACCTGTTCCTCTCCTTCTCAGATTTTTTCTATTCAGCTGAAAATCGATTANACTGCCCTCAAAATTATCTTCTACCCCGAAAATAACCCTTCCTGCGCGTCCACCTGTTCCTCTCCTTCTCAGATTTTTTCTATTAAGCTGAAAATCGATTGTCTGAGACTTCTAGGGTTTGGTGGCATGGTATCGAACCGGTAAATATCCTCTCTTCTTCCTTGAATTTTTCTGATATAAGAACATAACTGGATAGTTTTTGTTTTACCTATGTCTTTTCTTGTGAATGTTTGATTGTACCGTAACTATTGCNGCGCGTCCACCTGTTCCTCTCCTTCTCAGATTTTTTCTATTAAGCTGAAAATCGATTGTCTGAGACTTCTAGGGTTTGGTGGCATGGTATCGAACCGGTAAATATCCTCTCTTCTTCCTTGAATTTTTCTGATATAAGAACATAACTGGATAGTTTTTGTTTTACCTATGTCTTTTCTTGTGAATGTTTGATTGTACCGTAGCTGTTGCGAGTTTGTTTGATTTCTTTGTTGTAGTTCATCATCTTTCTTTTTTTTTTTTTTTTTCTGTTATTATAGTAAATTATGCTAATATTGAAGGCCAACTAGGTTTTCATCTCTGATAACGAACAAGAATTTATATTTATTGGGGATTACTAGACGATTTTAGACTAACGTAGGAGAGAGCACTAGATTCTTTAGCTTAAGAAACAATAATTTTTCGTTACTTTCTCTTTCGAGTAGTCTTCTTCAAGGCTTGTTTGATCTCTGGGTTTAATTTGCAATAGCAATTACTTTTGAAAAATGCCCANAGAATTTATATTTATTGGGGATTACTAGACGATTTTAGACTAACGTAGGAGAGAGCAGTAGATTCTTTAGCTTAAGAAACAATAATTTTTCGTTACTTTCTCTTTCGAGTAGTCTTCTTCAAGGCTTGTTTGATCTCTGGGTTAAATTTGCAAAAGCAATTACTTTTGAAAAATGCCCCATATATTCGTAGCAATTAGCAAATGTGTATCACTTCATGATTCTTCGCTGTTCGGATCTTGACCGGGTCAAAGCTTCCTTCGGGTCTGGCTCGTCTGCTGTGACCAAAAAACAGCACACTGTGATGTTAAATGAAACGCAACGTTTCATCCATTTAAAGTGATTTTATATTATATTTTCAAAATTTTCAAATTGAACATTACATAATATTATATTTTTAATTTTCAAAAATTTTAATATTACATAATATTATATTTTTAAATTGAACATTATAATAATTTGCGCTCACCTAAATTAATCTTCTTCCTGGTTTGGTTAAAAGTTGACCATCCACGAAAAGACTAGGATATTCATGAAGATAAATCTCTTATTGTCTTGCGCTAAGAGATTACCAACATTTTTACTTAGGATATTTGTGTTTATAGCTCGTCTTTGTTACTCCTTGAGATACCTCTTATGGTTTTTAGTGGTTTTATTTGATATTGAAAAGTGTATTGATTGAATAATTTGACTATGGAAACCATAAAAAAAAAATGTTTTTGAGTAGGAAATTTTTTTTTGATGAATTTTTATCATTTGATCAAAGAAAATAAAAATTGGATTAATTAAGAATTTATTGTGTTTTTATAAGTTAAGAATTAAATCCATATCAAAGTATTTTAATCAGATTTAAATTCGGCTCAATCGAAAATAAATTCAAATCTGATCGGACGGCTCTGGTTGTAAGTAACAGGCTTGCCCAGCGTAACCCACCCGGACCCGAGCATGACGGTTTGGTTTTGTTGTGTGTTTGTGCAGTAGAATGCCACGTGGTGTGATCTTTCTTTGACTATTGAAATCAATAAAAATAAAGGAAAGGATAAAAATAGGAACAGCATTGGGACCCACTTTACACCTGTATCGTGAAAAAAAACATCAACAAGCAGAAAAAAAAAAATATTACAAAACGCTACCGTTTTAGGGAACTGCAGATCCTGCTGTTCTTAGAGAAAAGTGGAGGAGCCGGATTCGACAATCATAAGAACTTCAATTTGTGTTTTCTGTGTCATGTGCCTTCTCTGCCCTCTTTACACGAACTCCGCACATTTGGGACCCATTTCTTTGTTGTTCTCTTTCATAATTTTACTACTAATGCCTTTCTATAAAATTCCCTCCCTATGAAATTTGAATAAGTCTTGTATTGTATCATTTATAACCTTATCAACACCCACAATTTCCATCTATAACACATTCAAGACCTGCGATATGTCTCTCTTTCCTCAAGTTTCTTTTCTGAAAATCAAGCAAGCATGAGGGATGGTAGTTCTTGTTCACTGGGCGCTTAGTTGTTGGCACTCACCATTTTGATTTTATCTAGAAATTTGTAGTAAAATTTTATAGAGAGAGAGAGAGACACATAATCATGGGTCTTGAGTGTGCAGAGAGATTGTGCAAGGGAATGCAGAGAAAAGACTTCTCTTTGGGTCTAAATTCGTCATTTATTGATACCAAATTTACATATAAATTTGAACGGAGGGATAATTTTCATTGATTGTCAAACTACAAATAGTAAGATCATGAATTTGGAAGCAACATGGGCTATCACTGAAATTCAATTCATCAGTGTTTGTTAGGCCCTTTACTCATCTGCTTCAACACCTGAGCTTCCCCATTATTGAGTATTGACCATGGAGCTTGATTTTACACCCTGCTTCTTTTTGCTTCAATGGGACTCCAAACAAGAAGGAATTGAAACCTATTTCTCCACTGATATTGAAGATTGATAGTTGATATAATCGAGAAACCACATGAAATACAATAGTATAACAGTGAAGGTGAAGGAGGATGAGTTCTCCGGTAGTAGCACAATGGAGTAAAAGATATAATAACCGATAGACTCAACTGAGACTAGAGGAAAGACCTTTTTAGAGAGAGAATCCTTCATGTTTTGTAGAGGGAATCTCCCGATTAAGACTTTGAGAACTTGTTTTGGAGGGATTTGTTTTCCTGTGCAAAACTAACTAAAACACCCGCGTTTTAATTAACAACATACTTTTACTCACAACAGAGGAGTTGCACCCACTTGTCAAGCTCTATATTGTTGGGGAATTCTGCAGGGATTTTATCAGCATCTTTATTTACTATTGTAAGGGATTAATCCGCACTGGGATATCCTTCACCTACTGAAGGATTGCCTTCCTCCGAAAGAATTCTGGTTGGCATGGACCCCTTCCTAGGACAATCCAGTAGCCTTTACCTCTCAGTGCTCATGAAGAGCTCCTCTCACATTGACTGAGAGTTGTCTTTCTCCCCCCCCCCGGCATATAAGTCAAGTGCTAGTGGGTACCTCCTCTATATGAAACGTAGGCTTATATGCAAGAAGTGGGGAAAAAGACGACTCTCAATCGATGTGGGACGAGATCCTCATGGGGGACTGAGAGGTAAAGGTTACTGAATTGTCTTAGGAAGAGGTCCAAGTTGGTCAGAATTCTTCGGTGGAGGATATACCGGTGCGGATTAATCCCCTACAATTATATTTTGCATCGAGGATTTGTACTTGTGGCCGGGATTGAATATTGCGGATTTGGTGCGAGTTCTTAGACGTTCGTGTGCTATTAACTTTCTTGTGCAGATGTTATCTGTAATTCAGCACTCAGCCGGTTTTGCATTTATGGGGATCTCAAACATAGTACTTATTCCTTCTCAATTTATTCTCAGATGCCATCTGCTAGTGTAGAAATCATTGGGATATATACGAGGAGCAATCCCATTAGCTGCCTCAAAAACAAAATTATGTTAATAGTATACAAAGGGATTGGTCTGTTTAGCCCGAATAACACGAATAAGACAAAGATAAACTCGTGTAAGAAATTTTTTTGTTAAAAAGATTTTGAATCTTGACAATTTCTTGGGTTCAAAATATGAGAAATTTATTCTCATAAATTTTTTATTCTCCTAAATTTCTTAAATTTTTTTTTGGCGTGGATGATTTACCTTTAATTGGACCGAAGAGAGGATTAGTCTTAGTGTATGAAAGTTAATTCGAACACTTCTGACCGTAGAGTTAAAAAAAAAAAGTATGACAACACCTCGGCATTTGATAAATGAAATGACTTTATCTTCTTTCTGACAATGAATAATAGATGAGTATCCTATATCAAGGTTAAATATTACTACAACTAAAAAAATATCTGAAATAGCAAGATTGGCCCCTTCTCACTTGTACAATTTGATTAAATAAATGTTAATTGATTTTGTTCAAGGTAATAATCAAGTTTAGCTAAGGTTGTCAAAGTTACTTTAAAATTAAAATTTCCAATTTACGTTTTCGTGTCATTTTACAAAATTTATGGGGCCTAAATGAACTTTACCCCGTGTAAATACAACAGGAAGCCCAACCCTAAGTCAGGGCAAGAAGCCCAAGCCCTAATTTGTCGCCGCCACCATCAACCCTACTAATTCTGACACACGAAGCCCAACCCTAATTCATCTTAGGTGGGCTCTCTGCCTGTGACCTCTCTGCTACGTCCGCAGATCCATTTCTCTCTCTCTCTCTCTCTACTACGCTTTTCCTTCATCTACCAGGCCGTGTTCCGATAGCCAAAATTGAAAACAGTGCAACTCTGATATAATCAGGCGTTGCTCCAGCGTATAGACAGAGAGTCCGTTTCGCGTGCATTGATTCATGAATTGAGTGCTCGTGAAAAAGCTTTTGTAAATTTCTCCGTTAGTCTTTATTCTTTACTTCGTCTTTTCTGTTCCTAGGTAAGCTTCATATCCAGTTTTAGGAAATCAATGTCTCCTTTTATTTGATTCAGTTTTTCTTCTTTTCTCTTCGATTGAAACATCGAATCTCTATCTGGTGTAATGTGGGGGGTTTCTCAGTGATGACTGATATGATGACGAGTCCGATCAATATATCCATTCCATTCAACCCTGACGACAAATCGAGTAGCTGCTTAGGAGTTATAGCTTTAATTTGGAAACCTTTGGAGGTTGAGGCATGGAATGTTAGACATTCTTTGTAATGTGATTGTTTGCCTACTTTTCCTAATTCTCTTACCTGGTTTCCTGTCTTGATGTTTGCCTTGGTAACATCACCGATTCATATAAGGCTTGCCACCATGAACCAATGGTTGTGTCTGGGCAGGCACAATGGCCATCAACAATTTGATGATTGATGATTTGTATTTCTTTATATGGTCTGGGAGAGAGATGAGGCAGTTTTTGACTCAAAAGGCTTGGAGCCCAATGTCCTCTGTTACAAATTATAGGGTTTGCAGGTTATCATACATTTGCATTCATGTGGCCTCTCATATTGTAAAAGTTGTTATTTTGAATGGAATGGATATAAAATTGTTGAATGGTTTAATAAGGTGGCAGTTTTTGGGTGGGTAAAACATGCTGCCTATGGGAAAAGGATGGTAATGGAATGCACTTGGTGCCTTCTTTTGGTTAAAGTAGTTATAAGAGCAAGAAGAGGGGTTATATGTGTACTGTTGTACCATTTTTCCTCTCATGTAGGTTATGTGTACTGTTGTACCAATTTTTTCCTCTCATGTAGTCTACATTATCGTTGAATCTGTGTTGTGATAATTTTTTTGATTTACATGTAGATACATGCACATATATGTATGTGTTAACATTACAGAACCATGCTATACTGTTGTAGTTTAAAGCTAGAAAACTAATCCTTTTTCATAGTTGCTATCAAATAAAATTTAATGAACTAATGCCCATAATTTTGACCATGGTTTATATAATGTATTGGCAAAGTTTTCCTGACATTTTTATGTTTATTTTCTAAAAATAATTGCCGAAGATTATTGATGATAGAGGGGGCACATAGAAAGTGCAACAGAGGTGACCAAGTTATGGCCTTAATGGATCCAGGCCTATATAAACAAGATGCCTTTGTACACTTTCTAGGATTTCTTTTAATATATACATTTTGCACAATGTTGTATAAAACCTTTGATATGATGGTTGGTAGGTTCATAGCATGCGGATTAAAGGTCTTGTGTTTATTATCTTTAGATACCATGGTATAATTCAGTTGAAACTTCTTCTGAATTTTTTAATTGCTAATCTTACAGGTAAACGGCTGGGAGATAATTATAGAATCTTCATAATGGAGTGCGTTGTTCAAGGAATTGTAGAGACACAGGCAAGTTCAAAAACTAATACTTGAGTTATAAATAATCTTGGTCATTAGATGTTGTACCCATACATTGTATTTTTTCCTATGCTACTGAAGCAACTGAGAAAGCATTTCGAGTTATGAAGCTTTGAAAAGGAAATGGGATGTTTTAGCAATGTGAAGGAGTGGAAGAGCTTTAGACTTGTTAAGAGTAGAGCAGAACTGAAGTCCACATTCAGTGCAAAAATTCAGATTGTAGAAACTATAATTCTTTTCTACAAGGCCTGTGCAGTCCACTGACTACAATATCTGTGGTCATTAATTGTGTGTGTCCAGATTCATCTTAGGGACAAATTGCAGAAAGGATGGGGTTTCATGCAATAAGAAAATACATAATCAACCAATCCTTGGGCAACCGATTTTTTCTAAAATAGGTGATAAGCATGTTTCCATTTGGAGTGAACTAATTATCTTTAATTCAAGCAACTCTTATGTTCCAAGAAAAAAAAATCTGAGCAATCTTATTCTGTACATTTTACAAACCTCAATTTAAATGAGGATGTTGTTTAACCTGAAGGGCTATTTCCTTTCACTGCCTTGTTCCAAATTTGCAAGTTTTTACATGGCATATAACATTTACTCATTGTGTCAATGTGTATCTATAACTGCAAAATAAAGATGTTCTTATTGCAGACTCCCTCTTGGATGCATGGTTCTGTGCTTATTTTTGCCTTTTTCTCCCTGTCACAATCAAGGTCTGGGATGGCAGGAGAAAGGTTTTAAATACAGATGCTTTTACATGTACAGTCTATATTTGATGATCATCAATTTTAATCTTAACGCTCGGGAGAGCTCCACGGTGGGAGCATACTTGATTGGGAGTTTGGTGTGTTGGTTGTTGGGGGGAGTTGTGGGTCTGGTTTTCTGATATTTTGTTTTCCTTTTGCAGCATGTTGAAGCCCTTGAAATTCTTCTTCAAGGTCTATGTGGTGTTCATAGAGAACGTTTAAGGATCCATGAAATGTGCTTAAAAAGTGGACCAAACCTAGGTAAGTGATAATTGGGCCATAATATGGAATTTTTTGGCAAGGAAAAATTTGTGCAAAAATACTTCGGTGTATGGCAAATGACTACACCCTCTCTGCGTGCTATTAGACCCTGATAATAGTTTGATGCAAGTATTTTCCCATTGTGATGTAGTAGTTCACTTTAATTGGTATTTTATTAAACGCTTCTGCCTGATCCAACTGCTATTGTACTTTTAATGTTCACTGTTCACTGCTGTCATAACACGGGTAATCCTATTTACACATGGATTTATATCACAAACTTACATGGTGAATATGGCTTCCTTTTTAACAGAATTATGCTACTTCTTATGGTCTTTGGAGGACATTGTCTGGTCCCCTTTGTTACACAAATCTACTAAAAGTCTAGTTCTGTTGTGATCTGGCTGACACAAGGTTTGATCTCTCCTGTTCTCAGGACTTGTAGCTTCAGAGGTTCGACTTTTATGCGATCTTGAGCAGCCTGAACCCGCTTGGTAGAGAATAGAGTTCTTGTGCAGGATAAATTAAGTTTGGCACCGTGCTCCTTTTTGTAATGGAATATTAAACGTGCAGGACTGTTAAACATGTGGGGGGTGCAATGAGAGGTGCCGGCGCTGAACAAATTTCTGTCCTGGTGAGGACCATGGTAGAAAGCAAAGCAAGCAAGAATGTGCTCCGCGTGTTTTATGCACTTGGCTATAAGTTAGATCATGAACTGCTAAGAGTGGGATTTGCCTTCCATTTTCAAAGAGGAGCTCAGATTACCATTACAGTGTCCTCAGTTAATAAGATGCTCAAACTGCATGCAACCGATGAGGCAGTGCCTGTGACCCCAGGCATTCAACTGGTTGAAGTGACAGCCCCTGCATCATCTGAAAACTACACTGAAGTTGTTGCTGCAATGTCATCTTTCTGTGAATATCTTGCACCGTAAGGGCTGAAATTTTTAATGTTTTATTGCCGATTAGTGTAAGAGCCATGCCTAGAGCCATTAGCTGCTGGCTTGAGTGGGTTTCCTTTTCACCTCAAGATGGGTACAAGGTTTAAGTTCTGGTTGAGACATTGTGTGTGGTATAACATGTGACTCTACCAGAATAGCAAACCTTGTTTGGGAACTTGCTCTATATGTAGAGTCTAGCATCTCACTGGCAGACACCTTGAAACTTGCTAGTAATCTGTTTGCCTGGAAATTTTCCAGAGTGACACACACTACACATCTAAGCACTGTGGACATACATACCATGGATCCTTGAAAATGTCTGATTTGGGTATATAATCATCCAATGTAATTTGCAATTTGACGGATGCAGTTCACAGATTTGTCTTCCATGAGAGCCACTAACTGATTGATTGTAATAAACATGAGTAGGACTGGAGGATCAATGAGATCTTGGTCATGCATGTTTTAGACTTGGTGGCATCCCAACTCCCATCTGGTGATTAATACCAACAGTTTGTTCTGGATTTTTTTCCCCAGGCTTCTCCATTTGTCAAAACCGGGTGTGTCTACAGGGGTTGTTCCTACTGCCGCTGCTGCTGCAGCATCCCTCATGTCAGATGGTGGAGGTACCACCTTATAGGATGGTATTAACATGGTAAGTATTATGAAAATCCTCTACTTGTTTTTTTTTCCTTAAAAAGCCCTTACTGTGCCACTATATTGTTTTAATTAATTCTGCCCCGTGCTGTACTTCAACTTTTGTTTATCTTTTTCGTCGAGCTGTACTTTGACTGCTTGAAGGCCATCAAAACCAAGGCAAATCTTCTCTCTCAATATGTTTTAATGTGCAGGTTCCGTAAACTTCGGCGTAAGGTGCTCATGTGGCCTTCGCAAAATACATGTATTTGTTGGGATATCTTCAAGTTATAATCTATGATTATCACGTATTATGGATCACATGTTCACGTTCCAACAAATTTTAGTGGTAACGAATTACAGGATGCCCAATGCCAAAAGTCACGCAACTCTACACCTAAAGAACTATTGAAGATTTACAAGAGTAACTGCCTCTCTATCTCTACATGGATGCCAAAAGTGCTCTCATTTCTGCTACAGATGGGATGGTCTCGGTTGGGTAAATCTTGGCAACAAGTTGTGCAAAGCTTTCGTACTTGTCCAGAAACTCCTTCTGTCAATTATTCAAACAGCTTGCAATCAGATTCGGAATACTAAAAAAATTATTGAAGTCTACTTGGTATCTATTCATAAGCATCACGAAAGATCAGTGACTATTACCATACCAATCTGTACACTTCCCGGGAAAACAAAGTTTACCATCTTTTTACTCAATATCTTACGGAACAATTTTTCATAGCCTAATTTACCCGATTAAGTGTATTATTTTTATCTGAATTTTGTCCAATACAATTGAATGAAAAAATTGATGAACACATTTTTTAGTTATTAATTTTTGAATTATTTTAATAATTTAATTAACTTGCACCAATAAACTAACATAATAAGTCAATAACACTAAAAAAAACACAACAAATTCGATAATACATAAATAATTACAATAAAATACAAGAAAGTTATAAACATTAATAAAATATTAAAATTTTTAGATAGAGTAGGATAGGAATACAAAAATTGTGTAGATATTTTACATTTTTATCCAATTTTTTGCAGTATACTAAAATATCTTTCATTGGCCTATTTAATTCTTTTAGGTAGTCAATTAATAGAGTTGGATAGGATAGAGTATGGTCTGAATTTGCAAATAATTGGAAATTTGAACACCCTCATTTCTTTGTTTTCTTTTTGCCTTTTTTCAATCAAGGTATTCGTGATAGGGAAAGAAGATTACAGTAATACAATTTTCAAATTGCCATTTTTCATTCAAGATAAACCTTGAGCATAAATGAACAGCAAACAAGTTATATGGAAGACCCAAAATACCTTGCATTTATCCCATAACGAAGGCAGCAGTTCCTCGGAGGTTAAGTTCTTCTGCAATTTCTTATACATTACACTGATAGACTTGTCAACCTGTACAAGTAAATATTGAGATACCAAAAGCATTTCTGGAACTAAACACTGCAGATTTGGGAGGTTATCGATCAACTCACCCCAGATAAACTGGATTTCACCACCTTTGGAAGATCCATTTTTGACAATCCAAGCTGGAATGGGATCTGAAATATACAAGGTGATAGGGTATCAGCTTTAAAAGTAGCAACTTTATAAATTATTAATACCTCCGAAGGAAACCATGGCTATGACGTGACAGCACCAACTATGGCAGTACATAAAGCAAGAATGATACTGCAAGTATTACACTCAGTAAATCTCCCAGATAAAGGGCAAAAACAATAGGAAGAGAAAAATAAAGAAAAAAGTAGGGAAAACAAAACGAAAAGGGGAAAAAAAATATTGATACACAAAAAGAACTAGGCACTGGTCCTAATTATCGCCTAGGTGCACAGGTTTGTGCCAATAAACATTTAATAATCCTTTGGAGCAGTTAGTAGACAAACCATATGAAGTCGCAAGGTACAAAGTCATACTACAAAAATATCACATTTGAGGAGTTTTTCCAAAAATGGTGGGGTTAATGCAATAACAAACTCCACTTTTATTTTTCTAATTCCAGAAAAGGAGAACTTTTTGAAATTGGAAGATTTTAGGCCAATTAACTTGCTAACGAGTCTTACAAGGTTGTTGCTAAAGTTTTATTGGTCAATCTTGTGGAGAATTTGGATAAGATAATATCTAAATTTCAAGGGGATTTTGTTAAAGGGTGGCAGATTTTGGATGTGGCTCTTGTGGCTAATGAGGTAGTTGAAGAATATAGATTTAATGAGAAAGAGGGAATTTTTTCTAAAATTGATTTCGAGAAGACCAATGATCATGTGGGTTGGGATCGCTTGGATTTTGTCTTGTAAGGGTAGGGACTTGGAGAAAGATAGAATAAATGGATGAGGGGTTGTTTGCAATCAATGAGCTTTTCAGTTATATTAAATGACAAACCAAGGTAAGTTTAAGGTTTCTGGGGGACTTAGGTGGGGGATCTATCCACTCCTTTTTTGTTTACACTTGTGGTGGATGGTTTGAGTAGGCTTGTGATGAGGGTATAATTAGGTGGAAGGCTTCGTTGTTGGGAGGGGTAAGATTTGGTATAATTTGGTTGAAGGCTTTGTTGTTGGGAGGGTTGGCTAGAAGGATTGAATGGATGATGAAAGATTTTTTTGTGGGACGGCAATCTGAGGGAAGAAAGGATCACCTAATTAGGTGGGAGGTGGTGTCTAGGCCTAAAGAAAAAGGTGGTCTCTCAACAAGAAATGTGTAGGATACAAATGTAGTCTTAGTTGGAAAATGACTAGAGATTTTCTTTGTAGCAAGATTCATTGTGGCTTTCTGTTTTTAGAAGAAATTATGATAGACCAATGAGCGGGATTCTAGGGAGGTTGAAAAAGGAAGCTTTGGAAACACTTGAAAATTTATTTCGCAAGGATTATCTTATTTTTCTCAAAAAGTTAGATTTGTTGTGGGAAATTGGGAGAATGGTCGTTTTTAAGAGGATATTTAGATTGTGAGTCTTCCTTTTTCTTTTGGTTTTCCCGACTTTATTGTCTATCTCGATATCATGATGCTTGTATTATTTGTTTGGTTAGATACTATGCTCACTTACTTTCTAGGGATTTTGGCTTTACCAAAGGCCTTTAATCATAGGGAATCTTTGGAATTGGTGTTCTTACCACACAACAAAGCTACTTCGAATCCTAAGTCCTTGGATAGAAAACGGTGGATCATTGATCCCTTTGGTTCCTTTTCTTGTAAATCATGATTTTTCACTTCTTCTCTTTTACTCTTCACCGAAGATTTGAAAAGCTAAAGTGTCTCACGGTAAACTCAATACTAATGACATTTTGTTATTAGGAGGTTTCCTTTGAAACAAGATTCTTTGTGGCACCTTGGTATTAGAAGTAAATAGGGTTTACACACCAATGAGTGGGATTCTAGGGGGTGGATAGAGAAGTTTCCGAGACAATTGAAAATTTGTTTTGTTTTGCAAGGATTATCTTGTTTTTCTCAAAAAGTTTGTTAGGGGCGATAGTTCATTTTTGGGAGGATATTTGGGTTGGGAAGTCTTCCTTTTTGTGTTTGGTCCCCCGATATCTCGTTATCATGATGCTTGTATTATTTGTTTGGTTAGATATTATGCTTACCCACTTTTTTTGGAATTTTGGCTTTACTAAAAACCTAAATGACAAGGAATTTTTCGAATTGGAGTTACTTCTTTCCGTACACAACAAAGTTACTTTGAATACTAAATCCTTGGACGAAAGACAACATCATCGATCTCTCTATTTCCTTTTCTTGTAAATCATTCTATAAGGCTTTGATTGATGATTCTTCACTTCTCTTTTTATTCGTCACTGAAGTTTTGGAAGGCTAAACTATCTTTAAAGGTACAGGCGTTTGCATGAGTAATTGCTCACAGTAAGATCAATACTAACGATGTACTTTCAAAAAAAGAAGAATGAGCATTTGTTTATACCACAGTGGTGTGCAGTGGGTAAAGGTGATGGTGATAGTATTGATCACTTATTTTTGCATTGTCCAATGGCTTTATCTTTGCGGAATAAGTTGTTTGAATTGATAGGAGTTTGTTGGGTATCCCCACGCTTCATGTCGTCTTTGCTTTGTATGGATATTAAGACGTTTGGAGGAGATGAGAGAGTTTCTATTTTATAGGCCTGTGCTTTCTTAGCTATAGTGTGAGTTATTTGGTTGGAAAGGAATTTGAGAATTTTTTATTATGGTATCACATCTATTTTTTGCCTTCTTTTTGGGCCTCGATTTCGAAGGATTTTGAGAATGCCCCTCTTTTAGGTATTATTCAAGGCCGGAGTGCGTCGTGCAACATTTGATGAGGCTTTTTGCTCCTAGTAGTGTCATGCATTGTTTTATGCCGTTTGGTTTTCATTTCATTTCTAGTTAAACTTGTCCACATTTGTTTCATCTTATTTAAACTTCTACTTTGATTATTGATAAAATTTAGTTTCTTATCAAAAAAAAAAATTGTAGGTTAAAAGATGCAGAAATATGAGCATCCAATCACAATAACAAAAAAACATAAAAGACATTAGCACTTATGGCAATTATGACAACTTGAAGGTTCAACCTTAACCCCTAAAATGAGCCCCATTGAAGCATAGGCTGATTATTTGTGCTTCTGTGGTCTTAAACATGGTCAGTTCATCAGAAGAGCAGCAAATTTCTAGCCAAGTTATCATTTTTTGTCCTGGTTAAGATATTGTATAATGCAGATGACTTTATTCTAGAACATGTGTAGTACTTTGATATTGACTAAACCATAAAAAACCAAGAATACCAGAATCCCCATCTATAATGAGAATCAGCACCCAATGAATGGTTCCACTCATAATTACGTGAAAACAGCCAATAAGGCATATGTCATGCATCACTTGGGCACTAACCTCTTCTGGTGTGATTGTGTACATCAAATCCTCAATTCTTTTAGCAAACTGAAAAAGCCGTTCAAATTGCTGCAAAGAAAAAATAATATAAACAAGCACCTTTAAACATATGGTTGAACTGTTGAAGAGTACATCTAAATGGGGTATTTGCTAAACTTGGCAAATAGGAAATGAAAATATAAAGGACCAAAATTGGACTACTTACATAATATATGATCATGCTGATATGGCGAGTGCAAGCTTGTTCATAAGCTTCACTAGCTTGGTGATAAAATTTCGCCAATGTGGAAACTACATTTGCCAGGTCATACAGACTGCATGCAACTGCTTCTAATAAGCATGTTGAAGGTCATAATGGTAGAGTAACAATTTCTATGCCCTAAAAGAAACTATGATAGTGATCAACTCTTAGAAACATATAAAATATGCTAAATACATGTGTATTTTAATACATTATATGTACCTATTCTGAAATGCAGCATAATTCTCTAGAAGTAAAATATCAGCATATTTTGGGTCTGCCTTAGCAATATTCTCCAATGTCACAAACATTATGGTAACCTGCAAAACAATTAGTGTAAACCATATAAAGGATAAACTAGAAGAAATCTACAATCCGACAAAATATTAAAAAAAAAANGAAAATTGATGTTGTATGAAATTGATGTTGTCTATTTAGGAATTTATTGGGAGTTGCATTGTTAGTTGAATGAAATTGGAGTTTAAGGTATGTGACAGAGTGGTCGTTTTTCATTCTAAGCCTTCTATACCTATCTCCACCACCACATGTAATTGTATATTAAAATTTGGTTTGACTTTGAAAGGTTTTTTTTTAGAGATGTTTAAGTTCTATGATCTTAGAATGATGGTGGTGACATGTTAATGGTTTTGTGCAAGGGTGGTGGCGATAGGTTGGTTTTGTGGTGTTTTTGGGTATAAGGGTTTGGTGAGTTTATGCTTATATTGAATTTTTAATGAACATGTTAAAAAAATTGAAACGTTGGTGATATGTGGCATGTTATTGGTTTGTGACCTTAGTCAATAAGCATGTGTATAGTGTGAATTTGAATATATGTGATTTAGATTTCTGACTTATGATTTATTTTTTTCGATACCATGAAGAACTTGAGAACAAGATACTTGAGAATTTGCATTCACTGTTTTATTCTTCTTTCATCCTGTACATGTGCATGCACTATTTTCTTTGGTTGTTTTTTGCTTTGAATATCTAAAATTTTTATTTAATTTCATTCGTTAAGTGTGATTGTGGTTATGTTCGACTCATTCGATAAGTGGTGATCGCAAATTGTAATATTATTGCACCATTTGCTCAGTTTGATTAGTTCATCATTCAATTGAATTAATTCACAAGTCTTTGTTTATATTCACTACTTTTGAATCCTTCTAGCTTATTCACATCTGTTAGTTCATTCAATTGGGTTAATTTTGTTAAATTTGGTTGCTTTGGTTATTTGCGTGAATCCTACGCTTTTGTGATTGTATGTTTTTCAACAAGTCCATTTGATAGTCTCAAATGAACTCATCCAATGGTCACTAAGATCCCTCTCAAAATCAGGAAGAAACTGTCAGAGACTGCTGCCTCTCTACATTCCCTTCTAGCCCCCTCTCCTTTATTTCTCTCTCTGTTACGTAGTCACACTATCTCAAGTGAAACTGTTGCCGATTAATTCTCGATCGATTGATGAGCTTATTGGTGAGGCAATTGTAAGTTGTGATCGGGGGATAACATTTCAATGATAAATAGATTTCGGTCTACGAGGTATATGTAGAATTCTAATGCTTTCATTATGGTGTTTTGTATTAGCTTCTTTGATGTTGTACTAATTGGAAGCAGACTATTACGTTATTATGTAAAAATTGATTTAGGTGGAAAATTGATCGTTTAATCTAAATAAACCAAAAAGCAGTTCAACCCAATTGTTATTTGTGGGTGTTATAAGTTTCCTATTTGCAAAGAATCAGAGAATTATAGTCATTATTCATTGCTTTGTATTTGCTCTTATATTTTTTATTTGCTTAGGCTTAAAAAAGTCCTTAGTAAAATGTCTAGTAATATGTATAAGAAGTCCTTAGTAAATTATTTGTGGTGATATGATTGTAACTTTGACAGGTTTGATATAAGTTTTGTTGTCTAGAAAATTTAGGTTGTTCATTCTTCTAATAAGTGTTGATCTCTCCAAAAAAAAAAAAAAAAAATCTACATATCTATATAATAAATTAGCTAGCAAGTTAAATTTTATCTCTTACATATTTTTCCCCCAAAACTATCTCATCACACCTATGTTTCTTCTTTTTTTGTCTGTATAATTTTGACCAAAGAAATGAAGACACATAAAAGAGCTTGGGGAAAAAAAAAGACTATATCTTGGTGGTTGTTATACATGTTTATTGATTTCGAAATAGTTGATAATGAGTGATTTTATGAATGTTTTCAAATTTGTTTAGTTGTTATATTTATTGTGTTGATTAGTTTCGATAAAAGTGACTGAATGATAATTAGTTATGAGTATTACATTGTGTATGGTGGGTCCTATAATTGGTTTAGATTGTCTTTGCTTTAAATATAAGCTTTTCTCAATAATAAACAATTTTGTATCAATTATTATTATTTTTAGAAATGATTATGAAACATAGAGATGGTGTACACAGGTTGATATTTTGATAAGGTCTTGTTTTTACAGGAAACTCTATAAATTCTTTTTTAGAAAATTATGGGCTAAGTTGGATTTCAGATTGTTTAATTGAGTAAAAAGTAGGAAAAATAAATTTTTATAAATTAAGTAACAATGAAACATAAATTGTGCTCAATTTTTTTTTTTGTATTGCATAGGGCTTTTTTTAGATACATGTCATTAATCCTTTTTTTTAGTGTTGAATATTGGTTCTCACTTATAAGTCACAAATTAGTTGGCTACACTCATTTGATTGATTTTTGAGTAGATTAATGATCACTTGAGATGTGTTGAAAAGGGAATTTAGGAATAAGATTTTGAATAAGCACTCGAAATTAGGGTTGATTGTGGTTGTAACGAAATTGAAGCCCTGGGACAATAAGTCTCTCAAGAGTTTTGCATATTGTATTTTGATTGTAGTGGGCTACTTGAATTTTTGATTTATAAGAATATTTGATATTGATTTTGGAGGGTGATTGTGGTACTAGTTGAATTGAGATGGTAGCTTTGGTGTGGCACCATTGTGGTCTATGTGCATGGTGTATGGAGAGACAAAATAGGAGGAGACGAAAGAGTTAAGGACATTAGTCCTTTGATCCTAATCGTTGATGGCGTCACCTATCTACATTAATCTAATAACCACATGAGGGCTAATGTAGACATCTCTAAACGTTAGGGGGAAGTTGCAAATTAAGTGATGATAAAATTATCTTAGTTATAAAAATTTAATCCCACATTAAAATGTACAAATGATCTAGAAAATATTCATATCAACAGAAAGGGTGTATATAGTTCTGTTTCCTTAATCATAAGCTGGCAATTCTTTTGGTCACAAACGATAATTGCCCACTTAGTCATTTTATTGCTAATTTCAATATAATTATATGTTTATCTCATTTTATAGCTTTTTGCCAAGAATGGGTAATTTTCAATTAGCGTTTTTCATTCTTAGATCCATTAAAAACAGGGTTGTTTTCACATATTATAGCTATGATCGATTTGAAAGTTTTAGGTTGGAAATCTCTTAAATTATTTTTTTTTCCGCTGCAAAAATGTTTACATATTGATCGTGTACATGTCCTTCTCCCTGAAAAATAGGTCAAATTGCACAAAAAATATTGTGTACCCTAAGGTTTTGTTGTAACATGTGGTATTCTACGATAAGTAAATGGTATAATTTTTTTGCAAGTTTAATTCTACAAATGACAATTATTTTAATAATGCTATTTTATCTTTACAATTGAATTTAATCTTTGTAGAATTGGAATGAAGAAGTGCGCGAGTTAAATATAATAAATACAGTCAAGCTTTCCCGATGGGGATGTATGAATAAGGTAACTAATTTTATTGTTTGTTGTTTATTGTTTTCTTTTCTAAGTTTGTTGTTTTTTTAAATTATGCTGTGTATTGATTTTATTGTTTTTGTAAACAATATGTTGCTATACATTCTTCCAACTGGTGGATGCGGATATGTGTTGATACATGGACTTTGAGGACGATGATAAAGAGAATGTTTGATAATATTAGTGATGGATGACCAATTTTGGTAAATTAGATTAAAGATTGACACATTTTGCAAGTGTACAATATAATTACGTTTGGTGATCATTCTTTCATCTTATGGTTAATGTTGTTGTGGTAGTTGGTAAAAATAGTTGTGTTTATAGAGGATTGTGGTTAATATTTTTAGGAGATGTTCTACCAAAAATTTTTTATCTCTCTCATTTTGCAAGTATACAATATGTATTTTGATTCAAATATATAATCCAAAGGTAGAATATTTTGAATTGGTCAAACCTTAATTTTTGCTGATTTATTGAGGTAGAGTTGATTTATAAGTAATTTATGTCATTTTGCTGTGTGATAGAAGTTGCTTGAGACTAAGAAATTTTATGGATTGTTTATAAATTTTTGAAAAAAATGGTTGTACTACACTCTTTTATGTTTGGATTGTCACATTTTCATGTATTGCTATGGTGCAGTTGGTATTGTTAGTATGCTTTTGAGCTGCTTTGGATACATAAAAGACAGCATAGATTGTTGAGTCTTGATTTAGTATAGACAATACAATTTGGTTGAATTGGTGCAATATAACATTGAGAGTTTACAATTTATTTGTTTAATTAAGATTTTATTGAGGGTAGATTGTGTAATTAGCGTTTTATAAATTGTCTAATACAAATTGGTAGTTTCTTACTGTTCGATTTGTAGGAAAAATTTTGTCCGAATTTTTTAAATGAACACAAAAAAATAATTGATTAAATATTGATGATTTTTTGTTTAACATAATATAGTACTTTGAGGCACATACATTTCTTCTAATTGTATTTTTTATAATGAATGAAATGAAAGCATTTTGACTCACTTTAGTTACCAAAGTCATGACATTAAGTTTGATAAGTGAATGCTGGTTCTTAAACCGATCACCGCTTACTAAGCGCTACTGTTAATTCTAATTAGATATGTAATTTCAAGAATATGAATTTCATGCGTTTTCAGTTTAAGTTAATGAGACTTTTATCATTAAAGTTTATTTTTCTCCATCTTTATATAATTGATACGTTGTTGATCACTAATTGAAAGTGTAGATTCGTTAAGGATACAGTTGTATCTTTCAGCTTAATATTCGCGTTCATGTTCAATATTTTATTTTTTTGTGTTCACAATCAATGTTTGATTTTTCTGAATTGTATAGTGTTTTAAGGCAAGGATTATCACTAGTATAATATATTCTTTAAATTTTGTGTTCGAGTTTGTATAATTCTTTGAGGAAGAATCATGGGAATCAGAACATATGAATGGCATTGTTTAAAAGCGCAAGTATAAATTATATTTTCATTTGCTCAATAATGAGTTTTTTTTTTTATTGAAGTGTGTTCAAACTTATATCGATTATTCTCTCAAACTCAATAATAAATTTAATTTTGCTTTTTTCTTGCTATTGTCGAGCTTTTTTTAAAAAAATTATTAATTACTTGCATAATTTTATTTTCAAAAAGATCATGATTTGACCAAATTAACATCTTTTTCTTAAGTTAGGGCGGTGCTGAAGCCAAGCTTGTAAATAGGAAGGGCCCGAAGGGCAACTACTAAGCAAGAAACACAGTGAAAAATCAAAACGGCGTCGCAGGAACTTCCCGTAGGACTGAAATTTGTCGCCCTCTCCTTCTCTGGTCAACATCGTCCTCAATGTACAGCAACGGCATCTCAATTTCGGTCTCAGATGATGAGCCCGACGATCTCGCCGGAAAGATTAATGTCCGAGCCAGAAGAAAACGAAAGAAACTGGGTTTTCGAGGCAAGAATGAGTTGGTTCATCGATTTCTGAGGCAGCTCGTGAAATGGTGGCCCGTATTGCTCTTCCTTCCTGCCGCGGGATTGCTTCTATTCGAGGCCTCCAGAATCGGTCGAAAAACCAAGCCACTCATCTCGGAACTTGTGAGTCCAATGAAACCCGACCCAATTCTGGAAAAGACGGAAGGAAATTTGAACCGTCTAGATCCAACGACTCGAGTCGTTGGTGGCGTCAGAGAACGTAAGTTCTTTCTGAAAATTCGAAAGGAATTTTTGTCTATATGCGTAACTGTATCGATTATTGTTTTATTTGCAAGCAAAAATCTTAGTATTCTTGGTAATTGAGGTGATTGATTAATTAATTGGTTAGTAATTTAGGAGAGGGACCTACATTGTGCTGAGTTAGCGGAAACGTTTGGAACTTTTGAGACTGTTTTTGGGTATCATGCTTTTAGATAATTGCAATTGTTGTTGTTGGCTACATGAGCAGAAACTTTAAGTCCAGTAAGGAAACTATGTTTGTGTATATTGCTGTTTCTTGGACTGAATTCCTACTAAGTCGTTCAGTATTGCGTGGTAATGAGCATAATGTTATTGGACCACATTTGATTTTATCTGGTCTGCATTGGCATATTTGGCAGAAACATCACACAGCTGATTAGCATAGTCTTGAGCACTTCTTGTTCCCACTTATATTGAAAGAATTGCAACTTCTATGTGTCTTGATGAAATAGTGAGGAACATAATTGATTGCATCAGGAACTGCAACTTTGTCTATCGAAAGGATTATAGTTTTATCCTGGAAATTGCACTGGAAAGACTTAAATTACTGTTTTTAAATGTTTACCTGCCAAAACTGAAATATGTTTTATAGTCCACAGTTTTATATTGCATTTTCCTCATCTAACATCTTGCAGACGTCACAAACATTTCAATTCATGACACTCTTTATGGATCGTATCAGGTTGCTTGAAGCTCCTACCTCCTGAAGAACTTCAACATCCGGATATTCCTATGGATAAGGACTCCACTTATCCTATTAACAAAATGCAATACATATCAGAAAGGGATACACCTTATGTAGAAGGGAACTTTGCCCTATCTCAACAGCACATGGAGGCCACAAGATTTAATCTATTTACAGGAAATCAAACTCTTGAGCAGAGAGAGCAAAGTTTTAAGGTCATAGGCTGCATCTTGGTATCTTTAGAGTGGTTTAGGTTGTCCTGTTAGTCTTCGAATTCAACATAAGGTCACTTCTTTGGATTTTTCAGTTGAACCAGGTTGTACTTAAATGAGCAATTCTTGAACCCTTCACATCAATCTTCCTTGCCATTAGACATTTGCTTTCTCATATGCTAATTATTGGCAATATCTTGACGCAGTTTTAAACTATTTTGTTTTTTCTGAATTAGATGTTGAATCAATGTAACAGGCAAATGAATCAGCTATGGTACATTGTGGTTTCTACAGCAAGAACGGAGGATTTAAGGTTTCTGATGAAGACAAAAATTACATGGAAGCTTGCAAAGTTGTGGTGTCCACTTGTGCATTTGGTGGTGGAGATGATCTTTATCAACCTATCGGGATGTCGGAGGCATCACTTCAGAAGGTTACACTATTGGATGCAAAATAGTGAGTCGTATCTTTCAAATTCTATCTTTTTCTCAATATACTAAAAGTGTGGAATAGATGCAGGTTTGCTATGTCGCATTTTGGGATGAAATCACTCTTGCTGCTCAGGAAGCCGAGGGTCGCAAAATTGGCGAGAACCATTTTATCGGGAAGTGGCGCATTGTAATAGTTAGGGATCTCCCTTTCAGAGACCAAAGACTAAATGGCAAAATTCCAAAGGTATGAAAGCAATTTGGTGTCCTTTGATGTTAACTGAATTAGTATGTTTAGTCTTTTAAGCTTATATCTTTATCATGCAAGTGAAAGTAATCTTTGTTTGCTTCTGGCAAGAAGTGCTCAAATCGACAGAGCATCTATTGACCGTCATTGTTTAAAATTCTCATCTCATACTAGAATTCTGGAAATATATATATTAAGTGCAATTTGTACAAGCACTTTGATGCCATGTAGATTTGTTGCTTTGGATTACAGAGGTAACTGTTGATCAAATGACTTCTTGGGTCATTTCTCTGGGGTGTCGATCAGAATCCAAAATTTTTCGAGTACATGAGGATTTGTGTTGATCATTGCTATTAACCTACCCAACATTGTGGTTTAATCGACAACTATGCCATTTATTTATAAACATTAATCCTAATTGACTTGATGGTGTCTGATATACTTTCCTCCCCCCCTCCCCTCTCTCTGAGTGCACATTAAAATTGTACACGTCCAGCACTACATTGGTTAATTACCACATAAAAACCTGTTGTTGAATTTGAGAAGCATGTGGTTCTTTCTTTCTTTTTTTGAAGCAATGTTTAAACTTGTTAGAATTGAGTTGGCTACATCATGACACCAACGAGAACAAGTATTTATGTGTGCTCATACTTGATGTTAGGTACACTGAATCTGAGTGTGCAAGTGCATATGATTTTTTGTGCCAGCAAGCTTTCTAAAAGGTTTTTTGTGTCTACTTCAATCAGATGCTGGGTCATCGTCTCTTTCCTCATGCAAGATATTCTATTTGGGTGGACTCAAAGTCCCAATTTAGGAGAGATCCTTTGGGTGTGTTAGAAGCCCTTCTTTGGCGTTCAAATTCGGTACTTGCCATTTCAGAACATGGAGCACGCAGTAGTGTCTACGATGAGGCAAAGGCTGTTGTCAAGAAAAACAAGGCTACCCCAGAAGAAGTGGAGGTACAATTGACCCAATACCACCAGGATGGCCTCCCAGAGGACAAGAGGTTTAATGGAAAGAAAGGTATATTTCTGCCTACTGGCTTTTCTTACAGGAACATAAAACAACCTTAATATTCCCACTAGTATTAATGGAAAATGAAAATTGATATTTATTCGTTGTGATTTGTTGAATTTCAGTAAATTAAATTCACGCATGTACCCATTAGCAGTTTTTTGTTTGTCTAGAAAGAGCCACTTCTCATAATGAGATGTGGTCCATTAACCAACTACATTTTTTTGCTGCCATATCTCCATTCTGTTTCTCTCTTCTGTTCTTCTTGTGTATAGCATTGTTTGTTTTTCTCGTTTCCTTTGCCTGCCCTGAATTTCACCACGTGTTTGACTGACCTTGATTTGTCATGTACTGAATCCTCTATAATGATCTGTGCAGCTTTAGCAGAGGCATCTATAATTGTGAGGCATCATACACCATTGACTAATCTGTTCATGTGCCTTTGGTTTAATGAGGTGGTTCGCTTCACATCCCGTGATCAACTGAGTTTTCCATATGTTCTATGGCGGTTGAAGGTGTTAAAGAACATTAATATGTTCCCTGTCTGCACTCGCAAAGATCTTGTTAATAGCATGGGCCATATACGCAAGGCTAAGCCTCTAACAAACTAATTCTTGGTGCTTTTTTATTTTTTTGAATTATTTTTCATATTTATTATTAATTTCTCAAATGATTCTTGTGGTCTTGTTTGGTTTACACTTTCTATGGTGTTTATACATGGAACGTCCTAGAAGCAACAGCATTCGTGATTCACTAGGACAATATAACGGGTCTACTGGAGGTAATCTTTGTGATGACAATCTGTGTAGCTAACAATCTTTGTTATTCTTTTATATGTCCCTGCACAATTTTGAAGTTAGAACAAAGGAAAAAAAGAAGAAAGAAATAGCTCGACAACATTTTATGTAGACCAGATGCTTCAGCCCGTTTATTAAGTAGGTTGAAAATGAGTTGGAATTGGATTTGGATTACACACAATCTGTTATCGACCCGCTCGCAACCCACCCGGTTTACACTTCTGGCATTCACCTTGTTATTAAATCACTTTTTGGTACCATAAACTCATTTGTGGAGAAAGCATGACTCATATGCTTGAATAGGTTTAGGTACAGAGATTAATGGTGGATTTGGTGGCCAAAACACCTAAATACCAACAAAAGCACTTCAGAACAACTGTATTAAAGGAACTCTCCAAAGCAGTACATCAAAGCCTAAGTACCAAAAACTTTGAAACAGTCCCATAGAGAATTATGCTGCCAAAGATCATATTTTGCACTGCAGTTTCTTTAGCTACACTCGCAGTCATACTCCTGGCCTTGTTCTCACCAGTACCTCACAAACATCCCACAAAGAGTAGCACAAGACCTTGGCTCGCATTGTCCTTATACATTCAACAACCCCAAGTTGCTAGCTCTACTATGCACCCGGTGGCCCCAAAAGATGCCGGAGCCTTGATCTTCCATCGGACACTAACAGAGGGACCTGAGATCACTTCTCCGGTGGTCGGAAAAGCTCAGGGGTTCATCATTCCAATCGAACAGTTTGCGCATTCAGCATTTAATATCATTTATCTCACCTTCGATACGCATGAATATTCAGGTAGCCTTTCTGTCCAAGCCAAGAATGTAGCCCAGAAGGACAAAGAAGAACTCACTGTTGTTGGTGGAACAGGTTCTTTCGCTTTTGCTCGTGGGGTTGCTGTTTTTGCTCAAACAAACAGGCATACGTCTAATTTCGATGCAATTTATCACATTAAGCTGCATCTAAAATTCCCAAATCGTTCTCAAACAATACCTGGATAAGATGCAACTTATTATTTGATTTTTTTTTTTTTTGCTCCTTTCATTTCTTTTCGATTCGATAAAAAATGGGAATTCAATATGAGAGATTTCTGTCATGAAACTCTTAGTAAGATAAAATTATTTCCTTACGTTTATGGATTATGATTGAATGGTAATATTTCGTTCTTCCTTATGTTGACCACCACTTTTCGGTAGTGAATCAACAAATTTATGCCTGGAAAAACAATTAAAGAATGGAATTGGGCAATAATTGGAAGCTCCAACATGTGTCAAATATCATATGGTAAATAGATATGGCCATTGCACCCCTGCCTCTCTTTCTGTCTCCTCATTCCACATCGAGACACACAGAGATCTACATGTACCAAAAAAATAAATAGTGATTTGGTGATGATAATGTTGACCATGGCAATGACTGGAGGCATTGGGTTTGCGTATCAACTATTCACTATTCAGCACACGGGATCTAAATTTGGGAAGAATTAAGAGTACCAATTGGATAGCGAGGGGGTTTGGCAGTGCAGAAAAGGAAAATAATTCATAGCCATTAGACTTTTTAGTCATGCCAAAGCATCGATACGAGTTCGATCTGTATATTAACATGAGCATTAATACGTATAACCTATAAACTAATTGAAGACTATAACCCCAAGTTCTCTTAAATCACATCCAACATGCATTATCCCCAATGGAAAAAAGTCGCCACCATGGCTGCTGCTTCTGTCTCCTTTATTGCGAAAGAAAATGAGAAAGTTCATCATGACTCAAATTTCAACTAAAATTTAAATTTTAATAAAAATATAGAAAGAACAAACTGCAGTCCTTTATTCATCATTTTTTTTTTTGGAAAAATTTCATCCACAATTCTTGTAATTAGGTATAAATTCAATGACACCTTTTTCCGATTTTAAAATTTCACTGCACTCTTTTCTGGTTTATATTTTCAAATCAATGGCAACCACTTAACGGTAACTTTTATCTCTATCAATAGATAAAGAAATAATTTGACTAAATATTTTGTAAAAAAAAGTAAAATTACCCTTTTTTATGTAAATAGAATAAAATGCCCTCAATTTTTTCCCTATTATATATGCTCTAGCCAGACAGCAAGTGCGATCTCTATTATTATATTATCTCAATGAATTTTTCAAGTTTAAAGCATTACATGATAAAACATTAAATCCAAACACCATAATCCACAGTAAAAACCAAAAAATAAAGCAATTCAACATTAAATCCAATTCCAAACATAGAATTTCAAATCAATAATGAAAATTGTTACCCATAACAAGACCTTAAACTTAGATCTCAATAAATGAATTTAAACACATCCATTCAAATTCTAATTTCTGGGAGAAACGACATAATCTAAAGACGCCACAACACAGGCTAGAAAGGGCCGAGACTCTAGGGCTACCCCTTTCTCTTATCCCCCAAGTTCCACAGCCCCTTCTATATTTGTATTCATTTTTCCAATCGATTAATTTAGTCCAATTAAGCCAAAGTTTTTGGTCAATTTCCGAAATTCGAGAATTATCAAAAACCTAAGTGTTGTGCGACCAGACTGTAAAAGTAAGTGAGTGTGTGTGAAATTGAGTGGGTGGACGGGTGCGATAAATTTGCGCGTGTGTGTGCAGGGGAGTGTATGGGTGTGAGTGTGAAGTTAAGTTAAGTGGTGGGTCTTTGAGAAAATAGATGGATGTGTGGGGCTGTGTGCGTCGGTATGTGTGGGTGCTTGTGCTCGGGGGGGGGAACAGGGAAGAAGGGTGGGGTGCGTGTTGTGTGTACAGAATGTTTTGTGTTTGTCGGAGTGGATGGGTGAGAGACGAACCTGAGTCGCTGGAGATCGCCGGAGTTGGAACTGGATCGTCGTAAAAAACAAAGGGAGGAGAGAATTCGGTGAGACAGATAATAGAAATAAGGGGAGAGAGAGATAATGGACGCCGTTGAAGGTGAGAGAGAAAAATGTTTCTGCATAGGAGAATTTGTGGTTTTCAGCGAACAATAATTCTACATTTTCATCTGAGTGTTGTATTATTTATTCTAATTCAGGATTTTCAATTCTTTGTGGTTGGACACTTCTTGTAATTTACTATACATATAATGAGAATTTCTATATCTCCCCATTTAATTATTTTTGGGATAATAAGTTTTGAACTAGAACCCTTCGTTTCAAATAATACGGATTCACCAGTGAGACTTTTTTTTACCAGATTGAAGAAGATTTTATCCATTTGCTTGAATATTGAGGGTCAATATTTCAAGAATTCTACTATCAAATAAATATACAGAATATTTTGGATAACAATTAAAATAATGAAATGGAAGCATTCATACTTGACCTTGTTAATGGCTTAACTGTAATTTGTATTAGTCCAAAATATAAATATTGATATTTTTATCTATAGTTTCAGAATTTTTTAAAAACTCCCATGTTTAGGAATTTTCGACTCTCATGCGTTAAAGATCGTAGAAACAGATGCATCTGTTATTGGATATAGAGGCATTTTATAACAAACTATTGATGGTTCTAGAAAATTATCAACTTTACTTCTAGTGCATGAAATCCAACGCAACAAAATTATTCTACTCTCAAAAAAAAAATTATTCATCATATTTTGAAATTTTGATGAAACATTTTTCTTAAATGACATTACATTCTATTCGTAATGACCAAATGACACCGTAAAAATTGTTTTATATCAATCATTTGCTGTTATTTGAATTTGTCAAAATCCAAATGTCATGTCAAATTTTGATCATTGTATAGTCTTCCTAATAAATCTTTTTTATTTGAAATTGAATACCTTATCCATTATAAGGCATCATTAAATGCTTTGTAATTTATTATTAATCTTGGAACTCTTATTTCTGACTAAGCTTTTTTCTGGTCAAAAAATTTATGACAACTCCAAGGGGGAATGATTTTTGTGAATTAAATTTTTATTAAGGAAGTGTTGAATTTCATTTTTGCAATATTCTAGCAATTCTTGATTCATTTGTATTGGGCAAGCCTTTGTGAGAATATCTTTTTTATTAAAGTATTTGGTATATAACAATTCAATCATGTGCAATGTGTTGTTTTCTATGCCAAAAGACATTTGGTAAATTATTATGATGGATAAGGGCCACGGACCCAACTAATGGGTCCAGTCCAAAGGAGGTCTACACTCAGTCAAGCTCATCAGATTTCGAGGAACTACATCACCAAAGAAAGTAAACAAGGTCATCTAAGAGTCTCATCCACACGGACTTGGAAAGAGTCAACCATCACGTCATTCTTTCACCTGATCTTATAGGGAGCTCCGTAACTACCTCATCTGTTGAACAGATAGCGTCAATTCCACCAAATTAACTATTTAATTACTGAAAATGCATTGAGAATCACTATAAATTATAAGTCCCGCCAATATTTGAGTGGCATCAAGCACATTTGTTATCACTCACATCTCTCTCTCATTACTTGTATTTCTCTACTCTCCTTACACTCTTTGAAATAATAAAATACTCAGGTCACCCCAGTCCCTCCATAGTAGACATAGGTCACGTTGACCGAACCACTCTATATTTTCGCCTTGCTTGAGTTACTCTATCTCTTTATTTAATTACCGCATTAATTACTGATTACTTGACTGGTGGTATATAAATTTAATTTGTGCATCATCAAATTAGAACATATTTATTTTATTATTTGGTTTTGAAACACATAAATCTTATTAATTAGGATTGAATCTTCTAATTGTTGATCTATTCTTTTATAATATAATTCTTGTTTAAGAAAATTTAATTTGTTTTGTTTTTCTTAAAAGAACATTAATTTATTTTCTTCACAAAAATAAAGATATTTGATGTTATTGTTATCTTTAGTTTTTTACTAAGTTATAAATTCAAAAATAATTTATTTTTCTAAAATATTGGTCTTAATTTCATTTGTATATATAGAAAATGATTGTATTAAAGTTAGAAAAAGAGTTCCTAATATAACATCTTGAGTTAGATTTTTAACTAAGATAAAAGTAGTTTTAATACACACCCCTTAGTTACATATATGAGTATCTGATAAATTATAATTGATTCTTAATTTTGATCCACTTGCGGTGCTTACAAAATTCTGTTATTTTCTCAAAATAAATTATTGGAACTAATCCTCCTTTGATATAATTTAAATCTGCTCCTGAATCAACAAGAGCAATTGTAGTCAATTGGAAAGACCTATACTGAAACATCAACACTTGAACCTAAAGTAAATAATAAAGCACAAAAATAAAATCCAAACTTCAAACAAACTATGGGTGATGCTATGCTGACTTAATTTTTTTTATTAAATCTCCATCTGAAATGATGTGATTTAATTTTTTACTATCAGATAAGTGGGTCCTATTAATATTCAATGACGGAGATTGTGGCACATCATTTAGTAGGCTTGTCAAAATTTGACATGACACGAATTAAGTAGATTTTGGTGAAATTTTATCAAGTTTGAGTGATACGGGTTAACTTGCCATACACATTTAATAAACGAGTTGTACTTGAGTGAGACATATTAAACCATTTATCACACATTTATCCATTTAAATAAAATTATTATAATAATAAATTAATAATTATTTTAAAAAATTAGCCAAAAAAAAAGAAGTAAAGAAATCAATACAAAAAAAAAAAGTAAAGCAATAGTTCAAAGACAAAGGAGAATAGATAGTGAGATGGAAAGATGAAGAGCAGTTTAAAGACAAAGTCAAACCAATGTCTTTTATTTTTGTTCCACATCGACAAATGAGGGGAGATGTGAAACGTTGACTTACCTGTAAAAGTCAGTGGTCTCTTGCCTTTTTTTTAGCCTTCAAGACTGATTTTTATGTGAGATTTGACTATAATTTTTTCTTTTTTGAGGTAAGTACATTGTTGTAAAAATATCAATTGAAGAATGCTAAAAATCAGATAATAAACAAGACAAGAAAGCTTATCGATAAAGGCGTGTAGTCACTGTCCTTAAGAATAAA